TTAAAAAATCGAAAAATTGAAGAATTGAAAGCGAAAATTTATTAAATCTAAAAACTAAAAAATCGAAAAATTTAAAAACAAAAAAAATGAAAAACCAAAAATTGAAAAAGTGAAAAATCGATAGTACACGAAAAATTAAAATTGCAAAATGGAAAAATCTAAAAATCAAAAATTCCAAAATTGAAAAACAAGTAATTTAAAAATCGCAAAATCGAAATAACGAAAAATCGTGAATTCGAAAAATTGACATTTGAAAACTGAAAAATTGAACAAAGGAAAACTTGAAAAACTCGAGAAAATGGAGACATGAAAAATTCGAAAAATTGCAAAAGTGAAAAATTTAAATCGAAAAATTGAAAAAATTAAAAAGATTAAAAGTTAAAAAAAAAGAAGTCTAAAAATGGAAAAATTGAATAATAGAAACTTGGAAAAATTAAAGTTGTGAAGCTGGAGATTGAAAAATTGAGAAGGCGGAAAATAAAAAATTCAAAACTTGAAAAATCTAAAACTTGGAAAGTTAAGATCGAAAATTCGAAAAAATGAAGTGAAAATTGTAAAGTCGAAAAACTAAAAAAAAAAAACAAAAATTGAAAAATTAAAATGTCTAAAATATGGTAAAATGGAAAAATCGAAAAACTTTAAAATTGTAAACTCAAAAAATTGTTAAATTGAAAAACAAAAAATTCAAAAATTGCAAAAACTAAAGAACGAAACTAAAAAACTGAACAAACGAAAACTTGAAAAATTCAAAATTGGAAAGTTCAAAAATTAAAATTCGAAAAATTGCAAAATTGAAAATTTAAAAACGAAAAATCGAAAAATTAAAAATTTAGAATATCCAATGATTGTAAAATAGAAAAGCAGAAAATTCAAAAAATGCAAAACCCAAGGGACCGAAAAAATTACGAAATCGAAAAATTAAAAATCTAGAAACTGAAAAATTATAAAATCAAAACTTTGAAAAATTGAAAAAAAAAGCAAAATTAAAATTAGGAAATTGAAAAGTCGAAAAAGTGAAAAATTGAATAACCGGAAAACAGAAAAATAAAAATTGAAAAGAAAAAAATAAAAAACTTTCATAACCGTAAATTTAACCAACGAGAAATTGAAGAATTCAAGAGTTCAAAAGACTAAAACTTGAAAATTCAAAGAAGAGTATTCGAAAAAATTAATCAAAAAACTAAAAATATGAAAAATTACAAAATTGAATTCCAAAAATTGTAGAATTGAAATAGAAATTTTATTAAATCTAGAAACTGAAAAATCGAAAAATTTAAAAACAAAAAGTGAAAAGTTGAAAAATTGAAAAAGCGAAAATTTGAAAAATCAATAAATTAAACTATACGAAAAATTAAAATATCTAAAAATTGTTAAACAAGTGATTTAAAAATCGCAAAATTGAAATAACGAAACATCGCGAAATCGAAAAATTGACCTTTGAAAAGTGAAAAATTGAACGAACGAAAACTTGAAAACGTAGATTGAAAACTCGAGAAAATGGAGACATGAAAAATTGAAAAATTAGAATTCCAAAACTTGCAAAAGTGAAAAATTTAAATCGAAAAATTGGAAAAATTAAAAAGATGAATACTTAAATAAGAACTTAAAAATTGAAAAAATGAATAATAGAAACTGGAAACTGAAAATTTGAAAACACGGAAAATTGAAAAGCTAAAAATTGAAAAATTCAAACCTTCAAAAGTCGAAAACTTGAAAGGTAAGATCGAAAACTCGAAAAACTGAAAAAAACGAAAAATTGAAAAATTAAAATATCTACAAACTGCAAAGTCCAAAATTTTAAAAATGAAAAATTGAAAATTCAAAAAATTAAAATATCTAAAAATTATAAAATAGAAAAACAGAAAATTCAAAATATGCAAACCGAAGGAACGAAAAATTGCGAAATCGAAAAATTGACGTTCGAAAACTAAAAAACTGAAGGAGCGATAATTTGAAAAATTTAAAAAATTAAAATTGAAAACCCGAAAAAATCAATGAAAAATTGCAAAATTGTAAAACAAGTAATTTAAAAATCGCAAAATCGAAACAACGAAAAATTGTGAAATCGAAAAATTGACATTCGAAAAGTCAAAAATTTCACAAACGAAAACTTGAAAATGTAGATTGAAAACTCAAGAAAATGGAGACATGAAATATTGAAAATTAAAAATTCGAAAAATTGCAAGCGAAAAATTTAAATAAAAAAATTAAAAAAAATAAAAAGATGAACAGTTTAAAACAAGAAAATTGGAAAATCGAAAAATTCAAAACTTCAAAAATCGAAAAATAGAAAAATCGAAAAATTAAAATATCAAGAAACTATAAAATCTAAAATTTTTAACAAGAAGTTAAAAATTGCTAAATTGAAAAAAGAAACAAAAATTGCAAAAACGAAAGAAGGAAATAAAAGAAATTGACATTTGAAAACTGAAAAACTGAACAAACGAAAACGTGAAAAATTCAAAATTGACAAGTCGAATCAAAAATTCGAAAAATTGCAAAATTGGAAATTTAAAAACGACAAATTGAAAAATCTGAACATTTAAAAAGAAAAATTAAAACGCGAAAATTTGAAAAATTGATAAATTGAAACTACGAAAAATTAAAATATGTATCTAAAAATTCCAGAGTGGAAAAATCTAAAAACTTAATAATTACGAAATTGAAAAATTAACATTCGAAGAAACGAAAATTTAAAAAATTCAAAATGAACGAATCTAGAACTTGAATGTCAAAATCGAAAACTCGAAAAATTGAAATATGGAAAAATGGAAAATTCTAAAAACTGTAAAGTTGAAAACTTAAAATCGGAAAACTGAAGGAATAAAAAATTGAGAAACCGAAAAATTGAAAATTTAGAACCTGAGAAATGGAAAAATTGAAAAGCCAGTAATTGAAAAAAACGGAAAAGGTGAAAACATGAAAAATTAAAATATCTTTAAATTGAAAGATAGACGAATGGGAAAATCACTCAAAGAAAAAACGAAAAATTATAAAACCAAAACATTGAAAAAATGAATTAAAACTGAGAAACTGGAAGGTCAAAAAAGTGAAAAATCGAAAAATTTAAAAACAAAAAAGTGAAAAACCGAAAAATTAAAAAAGCGAAAATTTGAAAAATCTTTACATTAAAAATACAAGCAATGATTAAAATATCTAAAAACTGTAAAATGGAAAAATCGAAAAACTTCAAAATTGAAAAATTAAAAAAAAATGCAAAATTGAGAAACAAATAATTCAAAAATTGAAAAATTGAAAACTTAAAAATTCGAAAAATTGCAAAAACGAAAAATTAAATAGAACACTTAAAAACAAGAACAATAAAAATTTAAAAAACGAATAATGGAAACACATAAAAACATGGAAAAATTAAAGTTGAAAAACTGGAAATTGAAAAATTTTAAACTTTAAAAAATGATGTGAAAAATTGAAAAATCGAAAAATTAAAATATCCAGAAATTGTAAAATCTAAAATTTTAAGAACGAAAAAACGAAAAATTAAAATATTGTGAAATAGAAAAATCGAAAAACTTTAAATTGAAAAATCAGGAAATTGCTTAATTGAAAAACAAAAAATTAAAAAATTGATAAATTGAAAATACGAAAAATTAAAATGTCTAAAAATTGCAAAATAGAGAACAGAAAATTCAAAACCGAAAAAACGAAAATTTTACATTCGAAAACTAAAAACTGAAGAAACGAAAATTTGAAAAATTCAAAATTAAAAAATCAAAAACTTGAAAATGAAAATCGAAAACTCCAAAAAATGAAATGAAAAATCGAAAAATTCTAAAATTTGCAAAATTGAAAAATTGAAATCGAAAGTTTGTAAAATCGAAAAACAGAAGGAATAAAAAATTGAAAAACCGAAAAATTAAAAATATAGGAACTGGAGAAAAAAAGGAAGAAACGAAAAATTGAAAAATAAAAGATAAAAGCTGAAAAGTTGAATCATCCTAAAATTGAAAACTCGAAAAAATGATGTGAAAAACAAAAAATGAAAAATTAAAATATCTAGAAACTGAAAAGTCGTTAAATGAAAAAACGAAAAACTAAAACCAAAACACTAAAAAATACAAAAATTGAAAAAAAAATGAGGAATTAAAATTGAGAAACTGGAAAGTCGGAAAAGTAAATAAACGAAAAATTGGAAAATTCAAAAGTTCAAAAATCGAAAACTTGAAAATAAAATCTAGAAACCAAAAAATAAAAAAATTGAAAACACAAAAAATCAAAATATCTAGAAATTAAAAAAAAAGAAAAAATATTAAACCAAAACGGTATTAAAACTGCAAAAATAAATTATGTGTATTACAAATTTATTGATAGCGTTTCTAATCAATTTTTTCAAATTTTTGCTTAAATAAAACACCAGGGTCCTTCAAGATTCTTTTAAATTCTTACAAAATAATATAGCGATTTTGTGATTTTTAAGACGAATTGTAAAATTTCTGGCACCATTCTGTTTTTTTTTTTCCGAAAACTTATAAACACAATTTTAAAAATAAACCTGGATTGATAATTGACAAGCATAATATTTTCCACATTTTAGACAGAATTTATTTAGGAAAACTTAGCTACGAGATGACGTCATTACATTTATCGTGAGGATAAACAGAGAAATTTTGGTCAACGTTTGGAATTTGTCGGAACAAACTAGTTTTTAAACAAAAATTGTCGAAGTGTTAAATAAATTGATGGCCTCATGTATTCACAAGAAATTGTTTTAAGATACCTCGTTTCTATTAGTTAAATTGACTGGTAAGTCATTCCATTGTAGATGAAATAAATAAAAACTAAATTTAGAACGAAAGTTCATTTAAAGTGCAAGGAGATCTTTATATACCACAATATGCTAACATTAGAATATTTATTTATAAGACACTAACTAATATTGTTGTAGTGATGAGGAGACATAAAAAATTTTTAATTTTCCTCATTTTATTAAAAAAATGTGCTTTGAAGCGTGAAAAATTACTAAAGCTGAATGTTTTCCTCAGGTTAGCCGAGGGCGAGTTCACCCCCGAGAACCAACAGAAGCTAAAACTCGAAGCCGACAAAGAACGCAGCAAGTTGGACCCATGGAAGCTCAAGCACTTCGAGCCCATCTGGGGGGACAAGACCCAAACGGACGCCCCCCAGAACGCGGCGCAGGTGCCGCCGCCCCGCCCCCCCATCAAAACCACCATCAAGTTACGGCCCACCACCACTGTCAGTAGCAATAAGGCCAAGGCGCCCCCAGTCAAAAGACTACGGACAGTGGGGGCGGTGACCCGGTCGTGTACGAAAGAGTCCGAGCTCTCCCTCGAAACCAAAACCCAAATCCCCGACCTGCTACCCATCCGGTCCGTTCGCAACCAAGCGCCTAAGGAAGAACCAAAAAGTGAGGATCTCAGTGATAATCATGCCGAAAAGCAAGAGAATTGTATTATTAATATAAGCAAAACGATACTTCAAACCGACGAAGAGACAATCATTACGTGTAGCAACAACAACAAACCGAGGAGCGAGAAGCGGCGCCGCTCCCTGAGTCGCGACTCCGCCGAAAACTCGCCGAAGCGGAAATCCCCCGAGAAGGAGCCCGAGGAGAAGAGCGCCGTCGACGAAGAGCCCGCCCCCGAGGAGCCTAAGCCGATCAACGACCACAACGACAATGACAATGAGAGCTCGGTGGACAGCTCGATCACCCTGTCGGAGCCGGACGGCAAGGACGACGACGACAAGGAGGAGGAGGCGAAGATCGACGACGTCAAAGACGTGGAGGACCACAATGAAGACACGTCCTCGACGGCGACGCTGGAGTACAAGAACGAGGAGAGCCAGGACGAGGAGGTGAAAACGGACGACGTGGTGACGAAGCCGGACGACGACGAGGAGGAGAGTCAGTCGAACCAGCAGGACCTGATGGAGAACTCCTTTCCGATTCTGCCGAATAGTCTGATCCTGCAGCAGGAGTCGATCGTGCTGGAGAAGACGTCGTGCTCGGAGATTTGCGGCGCGGAGATCTGCATGGAGGACTCGGCGGAGAAGCTGGAAGCGAGCGTGGAGGAGTCGGACCTGGTGATGGCCCAGCTGACGGAGAGCAACTTCGAGAGCGTGAGGAACATCGAGGACGACGACGCCAACGAGGATAGGTTCATCGACGCGGAGAACTACGTGCTGGAGTCGGGGCAGATCACGCTGGAGGAGGGGAAGGAGAAGGAGAGGACGGAGGTGGACATCGAGGCGACGTTGTTCGGGAATGACGGGACGCAAGGTGGGTTTTTGAAATTTTTAGTTGACTAGGAAATTTTTTAATTCATCGATAATTAATAATTGATCGTAGAAATAAAAATGTAAGTACTAAAGCGACCGAAAAATTTTCTAATTGGAGTGTGCCATGGGAATTCGTTTACGATTTATTGTTGTCATTGAATTATCGTATCAATATCGACGCCAACTCCCACATATTTTGTTACTTTATCTGACGTGGACTTAGCAACAGAACTTTAACCTTCGTTTCATTAAACTAGCAAAACAATATCCTGTGGTAGGGTTTTGCCACTTTTTTTTGTAAGAAATGTCTAATTACAGGATTTTTATCGTCATTAAGAAAATATTTTAGTTTTTTTTCGGAACTGCGTCTGTTCATGGCCACATTTCTCTGCTCTCTGCAAGACTTAAGGGGACTCGCTAGACGAGGTATAATATTTTTTTGGTTTTTTGTATGAAAAAATTGTATTAATACAGATGTATCATGCATCAAACTGCAGCTTTTTTCATATTCTAGAGCGCAGAGACCGGTTCAATCAACTAAAAAAATATGGCTGAGAAATATCGTAAAAAATCACCATTCTATGTTTTCTTTTCCAAGTTTTTTGAGTCATAACCATCATAGAATCGCTTGAAAATTCGTACATGGATAAAACATCACTTTTCAAATCAAATACCTAGGTCGATCGAAAAGTGGAAATTCACAAACCTCAAAAATCGAAAAATCGAAAATTGAAAAACGGGAAAACCAAAAAATCGAAAAGTAATATTGAAAATTAAAAAAATCAAAAACAAAAATAAAAAAATCGGAAATTAAAATAATATATATGAAGTAGAAAAAATTGCAAAGCCTAAAAACTGAAACGAACAGAAAAATCGAAAAAGCAAAAAATTGGAAAAACAAAAATTCGAAAAATCTAAAATCGAAAAAGTGGAAAATCGAAAATCTGAATAAAGAAACTTGGAAATTCTGAAAAAATCGAAAAGTAACAAAATTGAAGTCTAACAGTTGAGAATGGAAAAATTGAAAAACCGAAAATTCTAAAAATCGACAATGGACAAATTGAAAATCGCAAAATTTAAATTGAAAAATTGAACATAGAAAAATCCATGAATTGATAAATCGAAAATTCGACTACTCAAATTTTCTAAAAATCGAAAAATCATAAAACTGAAAAATCCAAAATTCTAATCATCGAAAGTCTGAAAACTGAAAATCGAAAATTCTGAAAAGCGGAAAATAGAATATCGAAAAATTTAAAAGAAAGAAAATTGAAGTCTAAAAACCGAAGAATGGAAAAATTAAAAATCAAAAATTCGAAAAATCAAAACCGAAAAATTCAAAGATTTAAAAAGAAAATCGAAAAATAAAAAATCTGAAAATTGAAACTTGAAAATTTGGAAAATCGAAAAGTAAAAAAATTGAAGCCTAAAAGCTGAAAAATGGAAAACTGAACAACTGAAAATTCGAAGATCAAATATCGAAAAATCGAAAAGCCGAAAAATCGAAAATTTGATAAATCAAAAATCTAAAATAGGGAAAAACGAAAATCGAAAATTCAATGAATCTAATACGTAGGTCGATCGAAAAACTGGAAATTCACAAATCTCAAAAATCGAAAATTTGCAAGATTGAAAAACCGAGAATTGAAAAATCAAAAAACCGAAAATTCGAAAATTCATAATATTGAAAACTCTAAAAGTCGACAATTCAAAAACCAAAAAACTGGAAAGTAAAATAATCGAAAAATCGAAAAGTAAACAAATTGCAAAGCCTAAAAACTGACGAACAGAAAAATCGAAAAATCGTAAAATCAAAAAGTGGAAAATCGAAAACTGGAAATTGAAAAATCGAAGATTGGAAAATCGAAAATCGGAATATCGAGAATCAACAAATTAAAAAACCGAAAAATCGAAAAACTAAAAAATCGGAAATCGAAAAATGAAAAAAAACCACGAAAATTCAAAAATCGAATAATCCGAAACTAAAATAATAGAAAAGTGGAAAAGTAAAAATTGCAAAGTCTCAAAACTGACGAACAGAACAATCGAAAAATAAAAAAAAATCGAAAAATATCTAAACATGGAAAATCGAAAAATCGAAAATCGGAAAATGGAAAAACCGAAAAATCGAAAATCGAAAAGTCGAAAATTCGATGAAACAGATACTCGAAAAAGCGAAAAATAAAAAAATTGCAAGCCCTAAAAATTGAAAAATCAAAAAATCGAAAAAATGAAAATCGAAAAAACGACGATCGAAAAAAAATCAAAAAATCGAAAAGTGGAAAGTCGGAAAGTAACAAAATTGAAATCTAAAAGCTGCAAATTGCAGAAAAATTGAAAAACCACAAAAACGGAAAATCGAAAATCCAATAATCGAAGGTCGAAAAATAAAACAACCGAAAAATCGAAAAATTTTATGATTATTGGAAAATCGAAAAATCGAGAATAGAATAATTAAAAAATCGGAAATCGAAGAATTAAAAACGTAAAATCGAGAATTCAAAAATCAAAAAAATTGGAAATCAGTTTTGCAATTCTTGATTTCTTCAATAAAATAAATTGACTCAGTCATTATTTTTTTTGAGTCACCCTGTATGTATAAACAAATCCAAAAAATATTAATGGAATGGTAAATCACAAGTATAGACTCATCATATTCTGAACATTTTAGATAGGGTATTTATAAAATTAAAACTAATTCAGAGTAAGTATTTATAAAATTAAAACTAATTCAGGGTAAGAATTTGCTCAACACGTAAATTTCGTTGTAGTTTGAGCCTACCTACAAATTCAGCCCTTGGACGATTTGGACCGCCTCCTTCGGTGACGACCGAAAATTTTTCAAATTTTTGTTATTGTGCTTTCTCGGTTTTTAAATTTTTCGATATTTTAATTTTTCAGTTTTTAAAGTTTTAGGTTTTTAGATTTCTCACTATCTCGACTTTTAGATTTTTTGTTTTCTTTGATGTATTGAGTTCTCGATCATTCGATTTTCTGAGTTTTCAGGCTTAGATTTTTTTTTTTGTTCAATTCTTGGATTTTTAAAATTTTTGTTTTTTAAATTTTCCTATTTATCAACTTACTGGTATTTCAATATTTTGATTTTTTGATTGTTCAATTTCTCGATTTTTTGAATTTTTAGTTTTTGATACGATTTTTTTTCAAAAATTTTCAGTTTTTCAATTTATTAACTTTACGGTACTTCAGTTTTGCCCGATTTCGATTTCTCAATTTTTCGACATATTACTGCCGGGATTTTTCAATTTATCGATTCTTCGATTTCTCGATTCTTCATATTTTCGGTTTCTCGAATTTCTTCATTTTTCGATTTCTCAATTTTCCGATGTTTCAGTTTTACGATTTTTAATTTTTTTTATTTTTCAGTTTTCAATTTTTGGCGTTTCTAAATTTCTCGATTTCTCAATTTTTCGATTAACTGATTTTTTGATTTTCCCATTTCTCTATTTCTCGATTTTTCAATTCTTTCTTCAATTGTGATTTTTCAATTTTTCCATTTCTGAATTTTTCAATGTTTCAGTTTTGGATTTTTTCACTTTTCCGATTCTTCAATTTTCTTTCCATTTTTCAGTTTTTCAAGATTTCAGTTTTGAATTTTTTCACTTTTTCTATTTTCAATTTTCCTTCCATTTTTCTGTTTTTCAGTATTTCAGTTCTGGGATTTTGCAATGTTTCGGTTCTTCAATTTTTCCATTTTTTGATGTTTAGATTTCTCGGTTTCTCAATTTTTCGATAGGTATTTTAATTTTTCAGTTTTTAAGTTCTACATTTTCCATTAATTTTTTTGTTTTCTTTGATGTTTTGATTTCTCGATTATTCGATTTTTCAAGTTCTCGGTTTAGATTTTTTGGTTTTCCAATTCTTCGATATTTAAATTGTTTAATTTTTAGATTGTTCAATTTCTCGATTTTTAGATTTTTCAATTTTTCATTAAAAATGTTTCAATTTTTCAATTATTAACTTTTCGATTTTTCAATTTTGGTCTAATTTGATTTCTTAATTTTTTGATTTTTTGACTCCTCTACTGTTGATGTTTTGATTTCTCGATGTTTCAGTTTTTGAACATTCCGACGTTTCGATTTTTCGACTTTTTGGCTTTTCGAATGTTCAATTTTTTGATTTTTGAATTTTAGATTTTTGTTTTTTTTTTTTGATTTTTTGGTGTTTCGATTTCCCAATCTTCAATTTTTCGATATTTTAATTTTTCAATTTTTCAAATTTCTAAATTTTGGATTTTTCTTTTTTTTTATTTCTCAATTTTTGGATGTTTTGGCGCGATATTAAATTAATAACTGATTTTAAATTAATGGCGAAGGTTTTAATAATTTTTTACTGCATGTGTTGCTTTTTGTATTTTTAAAATACGCGCTATATGTCTGCACATTAGGTTAAGTATAACTAGAGACCAAAAAACGGTCAAAATTTGCACAGTTTGGAATTTTTTCCGAAAGTCTGGACCTATCAGTGTAAAATATTGAGATGACGTCATCAAATTGTTGAACAGATAGACAAATAAATTGTATGTACCGAGACAGCAATAAAAAACGCTATCAAAGGCAGCCGTGGATCATTTTTTTCAAAAACAAAACACCGAGGGTCCCTAAGACTCTTTTAAATTCTTTCTAACATAAAACACCAGAGACTACCAAAATTCTTCAAAAATAATAAACTAGGGATTCCCAATTTTTTTTTTTTGAGGGGGCTCCAAGGTTCTAATCTTTATCAAAGGATCCAAAAAGACGCGAGGGACTCAAGACTCTTTGAAATACTTTCAAAAAGAAAACACCAAGGAGTCCAAAGATTTTTTCAAATTCATAAAAAAATACACCGGGAGTTTCCAAAAGTTTTTTAAAGGGGTTTCAGGGTTATTCAAGATTCTTTTAAATAAATGTAAAACCCACTAGAGACTCTCGAAATTCTTTTAATTTTTTTAAAAAAGACGCTAGAAACCCAAGATTCTTCCAAAAACTAAATCAGTGATCC